AATATACTGAATATAATGAATGAACTGTATATTTTGAGGGCAAAACACAGCAGCCAATTGTGCACAGCAGTGTCCCACTAACAGTCATGGATTGAGTGATCTATTACCCCTGCAAAGCGATCTGCCAATCGACTAACAACCAGGTTCCTACTTACTGCTTGTTAAACAGTTGTGTGGAGTAAGGAAACTTGCCCACACTGGAACCCGGGTCCTCTCGCTTGCGAGGCTGGTGCTCTAACCAATTTGCAATATATAAATTGCATCTTTTCACGTCGGGAGGGCATCCAGATACTTCCAAGTCAGATGCTTTCAGGAGAGGTGAAAGAATCAGTGAGAAAACACACAAAAATTGACACCACTGCCTCTCAAATTGGATATTTCTGTTTGCTTTTCATCTTCTCTGTTGCTCATTGATTTGACACAAATTAAAGTCTTATTCAAATATCCACAATTACAGACGAGTGGAGCCTCACTGAAGAGAGTAAATCCTTCTGAAAGCTTTTTATCTAGATCGGATCATTTATTGCCTCATCTTGTCATGGTCTAAAGTACGGATAAATCCATATTTCATGATAAACAGTCAGTTGGCCGTTCTTCTTGCTCGCGGAATTCAGCATGAGATGCCCAGAGGAGGGTCAACATAAATGAGCCGTGAGGATGCCAGAATTAAATTTAAAAATTAAACCCTGAGCTTTTTTAGTCCCTTTAAGCCCATGGAGGTGAGGAGAAGACATGAAAGTCTTCATTTTGCTTTGATCCTCAAGTGTCAGAAGTATTTACAATTAATTTGCATGCGCATTGCTCTTATTTGTTTATTTTAGTCTGTCTTTATCGGATTATCTCACAAGCGAGAGACCTGGGTTCGATTCCAGCAGGGCAAAACCTTGGGAAAGTTTCCTTACTCCACATGCTTGATAATAATCCCTCAAAAAAAAAATAATAAAATTGGTTACTTGAATCCACGACTGTTTGTGGGACACTGCTGTGCGCAATTGGCTGCCGCGTTTTACCCACAAATATACAATCAATTCACTTTACAGTCTATTCTGTGAAGCACTTTGAGACGTCTAGAAGACTTGAAAAGTGCTATATCAAATGCAAAGATTATTATTATTATTATTATTGCATTCTACTCTCTTGCTATCAGTGATAGCGATCTTGACTACCTGATATAATTACAAGGCCAGACTAAATAATTGCACTTTGCATCGTTCATCTAATCCTTGTGAATAGGCTGTGATTTTCACAGGCAGAAGGAAGTGCAGTCCTGTAGCGTTGTGGTTAGAGCACTCGCCTCGCAAGTTAGAGGACCCGGGTTCAATTCCTGGACAGCCCGAAACCTTATGCAAGTTTCCTTACTCCACACGCCTCTGTTCCCATAGCTATAAGTTGAAACCCAGTTGAATGGCAGAGCGCTTCCTGGAGTGAAAAAATAATCCCTCAAAAAATATTCGGTCACTCAATCCATGGCTGTTTGTGGCAAATTGCTGTGTGCAATTGGTTGCTGTGCTTCTCCCACAAAATACATCTCAAAGGGCTTCTCAGAATATATTGTAAAGTGGATTGACTGTAAAATCCTGTATATCTTGACAACAACAACAACAAGATGACTGGATAAAGTGAGCACATTTTTTTTGAGAGTGTTATTACCCCGTAAGGCATTCAACTAACAACCGGGTTCCTACTTTCTGCTAGGTAAACAGAGGTGTGTGGAGTAAGGAAACTTGTTTAAGGTTTTCACCGCACTGGGAATTGAACCTGGATCCTCTCGCTCGCGAGACACACTTGAAAATTTAATTCTACAGTTTGCTGAACTCTGGACCTCTGAGACGTCCAGAAAGTAGAGCAAATCCAGACGTGGGTAGAATTTCTCCTGCCAGACGTGTGATTCTTGCAGGCTGTCTGAAGTCAGCTTTTGCTGATAACTCAACTTGACACCACTCTTTCCTGCATTAACGCAGCATGCTCTGGGTGGACTGGAAAGGGCTCATTTGCTGACAGAACTCACCACTCCTCCTCTCCTCATGTTGCAGTATAATTATATAAGCAAATTTCGCAGTACAAATCTGTAGCATTTAGCAGAACGTGAGTCACCATTTACCCCTATAATTATCTCAAACACAACATTGGAAAAAGGGCTGCACTTAATATTGACTGTCAAAGGAATGCAATTTGGTTTCCATCCCGAGGACTCTGTTATTTAGCTCTGGTCTGAGTCAATCTTTATTCCTCACCCTGAATTTTAAGCATGTCGATTCACTACCTCGTGTGAAGGGCACTTATATGGAATAAGGGCACTCGTGGAGTCCAGTACCTCAGTTGGTTAGAGCACTCGCCTCATGAGCAAGAGACCTGGGTTCGATTCCGAGCAGGGCGAAACCTTGGGCAAGTTTCTTTACTCCACACACCTGATAATAATCCCTCAAGGAAATAAATAAATAAATAAATTACAATTTGGTCGCTCAATCCACCACTGTTTTGGGACACCGTTGTGCGCAATTGGCTGCCGCGTTTCGCCCACAAACATACAATCAGTTCACTTTACAGTCTATTCTGCGAAGCGCTTTGAGATGTCCAGAAGATGCGAAAAGTGCTATATCAAATGCAAGGATTATTATTGTTATATTATTATTATATAAATGTTGTTCTCGTTCACATTGGCAGTTATGGCCTCCCCACTTTCGGGATGGGGGCGTCTCATAAAACAGTTGGTTTTCTGGTTATTGTATATGTGTCCCTCCAGGGAGCGAATGTGCATTCCATTCCAACAATCTGTCTCTGGAATTTCCATGTGTAGGTGAGATGTATGGAATTCTCAATTTGGTTTAGATACTCTTAAACTTGGTGATGGGTTCCCCCATGTGTCAGACACCCAGCTGGCCAAAAACTACCAGGGGTAGTAATCCCTCAAAAAAAAAAAAATTTGGTCACTCAATCTATCACTGTTCATGGGACGTTGCTGCGGACAAATTGGCTGTCGTGTTTGCATACAAATTACACAGTCACTACACTTTACAGCAATCACCTGTGAAATGCTTTGAGACGTTCCAATGTTATAGCCACAGTACCATACGCAGGAATAATTATAGTTTCTTTTAAACTAACTATGAACCAGCCCTCAATCAACTAAAACACTTCGAGAACACTTTGCCTTTAAGGAGCCTTAACCTTATCTTTGTGTGGTGAAAATCTGGGGGAGTTCTACACTTCCAGTGCTCGATTTCTGTCTGGCATGCTCTGCCAATTGTTTAATGAACAGGTCAGTGCAAAAGTGTGTAGAAGGAATCCACCATTAATATTTTATGAAAGAATGAGCATATTAATCTTTATCTCATTCCCGTTTCATCACCGCAGCACTGTAATATAAGGCTAACTCTTAACTCTGAAGCTCCTTTATTAAGATCCCTATTCCCTAGCAGATTGATTTCAAGAACCAAGGTCTGAATTTCAAATGGCTTGGACCATCTTACTTCCCTCCGCTGTCTCCTGCAGTCCCACTCTATCACCCACCCCTTCCACCACCCAAATGCTGGCCTGCTGGACTTCTCCCTTCATCCCCAACCACTTTACTCCCAATCGCTTTACCCTCACTCTCTCGCGCTCCTGTATAAAATGCCTCCACCTCGCACCCAACCTCTCTTCTTTCAAAACCATTCATACCCAAAGCACCTCTTTCTGATCTCCTCCTGTCCCACTCCTCTCTCACCCACCTCACCCCCACCCTCTGGTCAGCTAACCTAAGCTTGCTGCACACCTCCCGTCCTGCCATCGGTGGCTGAACTTCCCAATTCTACAGCCCTAACCTCTGGGACTTCCTCACTCGACCCCTCTCTCTTGTCACATACCATCTTAAAACCTACTCTTTCACTGAGTCTATAGCCACCTCACCTTCCCCCATCTCCCCACACCCCAACCCCCACCGCCCTGCTCGGTGTCTATCCATCGCTCATGCCACCGTAAAATACTTACATTCTGAAATGGTATTCTACTTGAAAGATAACAACAACAACTTGTATTTATATATAAATGCATGTTGTTGCTATTCTACAAAGAACCTTTTCACCATGTACGTAATTGGCATGTACGTGTTCCCTCCATAAAATATACATTCAATCCGTTTTACAATATATTCTGTGAAGTGCTTTGAGACGTCTCAATGTCATGATAAGGTGCAATATCAAATGCAAGGATTATTATTATTATTATTAATAATATATCCCAGTCCAGGACACCAGGAGCTCCCTCTGCAATGTTCCTACTTCAGAACCCGGATATCATGAGATATTAAAGCTGTATCTGCCCTGCCTCAGATCACTCTGGCGTGCATCACACTAACAATTTCATTTCGCGGGTCAAACTATCTTACCTGAGTAAAATTTAATGGCAATTAATGCTAAATCATGGGCAGGTTTGTACCAGTGACTTGTGTGGTGAGAATGTGCTGATTCTAAATCCCTTACACCTGGCAGTACAACAAGAGAACATCAGGTTAGAGATATGAAGGGCAATTTCAGGACAGGTCCCAGTTCTTCTTTGCTCTGCAGATAATTAGTGACTGAAACAGGAGGGGTAGTGGAGGTCAGGATATTGGGACCCATTTGAAAAGCAGCTTGATGCTATGGTGGGAGGACAGTAAAAGTCAATAAGGTAGGTGTTCTGTACGGTTATGATCAGATGGGCCAAAGGACCTTCTTCAACCAAACCGATCTTATGATCTTGTGAGAGTCTGGGCTGGATTTGAAGCTTGGCCCCAGTGGTCGAAGGACTATGTTGTGAGATTTGGTTATCACCAATTTCAGAAGCTACATGTAGTAGAAAGTTTGGGCGGCGGAGATTATTACAGAATCTAATAAGCTGCTCGATGCAAGGCAAAGAGATGTTGTGTGGACCAAACCCATGAACATTTTAGTCAATGTTTTGATTGATTGATTGATGAGTTTTTAGACTTGTTAAAGCACAGTGAAGCAGACTGGTGATAGTCTTTTCTGTGTTTCCTCTAGACTGAAGAATTTTGTGAGCGGTTTCCCACAGCAGCTGCCCGATGGATTGCTTGTCTCAGAACTGCCCAGCGACAACCAGTGTCGTGAGCATCTGTCCGAGCCCTTCCCGGATCCCGACTATCTCTCAGGTTTGTCTGAAAATTACGTAGTCTTTGTCTTGTTTCTTCTGGTTAATTCTGACTTTGAGTCAGCTGGAGCTTGAATCGATCACTCCTTGTGATTGATCCATGATCTGAGAAACTGAAAGTCAGGCATGGAGGAAATGGGGCGGTTCATTGCGTTAAACATGTGTAAACACATACCCATGAAGGGAATTAGCAAACAAAAGGACTAGTCATTCATGTTATTGATATATCGGAATAATACTAATCCTTGCATTTGATATAGCGCCTTATCACGTCATCAACTAGTCAGTAACTAGAGGGCATCAATTTAAGAGAGTAAACAAATGAGAAGATTAGGAGATTTTTTTTCCACACATACCCGTTAGGATCAGGAATGCTTTGCCGGAAGCGGTGGTTGAGGCACAATCCATATTCAAAAGGCAACTAGACAAATGCCAAGAGAGGATAAGCTACAGGGACATGGGGACAGGGCAGATAATTGGGACTGAAAGGATTGTTCCTAAAGGAGCCAGCACAGATACGATTGGCTGAATGGCTGCCTTCTGTGCTGTATATTTTTATGGTTCTAGAAGACTGGCAGGTTCAATGAGACGATATTTGCTGAGGAAAATCATGTGGCGAGAGTGACACGTTTTCGGGAAATGAAATCATTGAGACTGAAGGTGATATTAATGGACTGGATTGCATGACTGCCACACGTAGCTGTGCAGTGGAAGGTTGAAGGGAAATAATGTACTTGGAGGCTCTGGTAATGTCATGGAGAGATAAAAGGTAGAAAGAACAAGGAATTTGCATTTCCCTGGCGCCTTATCAAGTCAAAATGCCCCAGGGCACTTCACAACCAGTTAATAACCATAATCCTCACATTTTATTATAATCCTTGCATTTGATACAGCACCTTTTACGTCACAAGGGCGTCTCAAAGTGCTTTACAGGAATCACTGTAAAGTGGAGTGACTGTGTATCTTATAGGGGCGCGAGACAGCCAATTTGCGCACAGCAAAGTCCCAGCAACAGCCATGAACTGAATGACCAGTTTTACTGTTGCTCGGTGGAAACTTCCTTCTCTTTACCATTCAACCTGAACAGACAGACAAAGCCTCGGTTTAACAACTCATTTCATTACTGAGGCAAAAAGATATAGAGTTTCGCATTGATTCAATAAACAGGGTCAATAAGAGGCAATATTATGCCTTTATGCTCGCATATCGTATTTCGCCGTGATGACAACCTAAAAGTTCATAGCCAGCAGACAAAATTGTCTCAGTTTGAAAACGCTGATGACAACAAGCGCTGAATCTTTGTGTTCTTGCATTGTCACCATCTGTCCTTCTTTCTTTTTCTGATGTTACTTGAATCTCGGAGGCTCGGGTGGGAGTTCAGCCCTCCTGGAGGAGCATGGACTCGCTTTCTCCCAGAACCACTGAAGTGTAGCTCATCTCTTACGTCTTGGTATCATGGCGATATCTATCTATTCCAAGCTGAGCAGTGCACTTCAACACTTTTGCAACCACCTGGTTATTTTAATCACATCGGCCCTTGGGCTGGCTCTGATTAACCCATGGGTGCCATACGGCAGCAATTCATTCAACACGTAACAGGTATAACAAGCTATGGCTCAAACAACAAATTCACTTCTTCTTTCTTAGCCAGTTGAACACTTATAATACAATACGCAAGCATATTGACGTCTTCTGGAGGCAGGGAGTCATCCCACTCAGCTCCTGTTAACCATACAACAGGTAGGGTGGTCCTAGCTGGACAAGCAGTGGGAAAGCTAGTCAGACAGCGATATCAATGCAAGCTATTCAGTTTTAACCAGTCAGCCACCAGCCGTTCCCCAACGCACTCTCTGGAATCCCCATGCCTTTGCTCTTGCCATCCTGCGCCTAATTCTTTCTGGAAATAAGTAAGCAAGATGTGTCCCTCCAGGCAGAGAGTATATTCCACTCCAACAATCTATCTCTGGAATTTCCATGTGTACATCGGATTCAGCCATTCAGCCCCTCGAGCCTGTTCCACCATTCTATAAGATCATGGCTGATCTGTACCTCAAATCCAATTACCCACCCTTGCCCCATATGCCTTGATACCCTGACCTAACACATATCTATCCACTTCGGTCTTTGAGGAGTCCTGTAGCTCAGTGGTTAGAGCACTCGCTTTGCAAGTGAGAGGCCTGAGTTCAATTCCAGGCACAGGGCGAAACCTTGGGCAAGTTTCCTTACTCCACACGCCTAGTAATAACTCCTCCAAAAAAAACAATAATAAATTGGTCATTTTCAATCTACGACTGTTTGTGGGACACTGCTGTGCGCAATTGGCTGCCGCGTTCGCCCACAAATATACAGTCAATTCACTTTACAGTGTGTTCTGTGTTCTGTGAAGCGCTTTGGGACGTCCTCCCGACGTGAAAAGCGCTATATCAAATGCAAGGATTATTATTAAAAGTTGAATGGATGCAGCATCCACAGCCTTTTGGGGGAGATAGGTCCTGATTTCTAAATACCCTTTGGGTGAAAAACGCTGTAGGTCGGATCCATGGACATCTCTGTTTGGTTTGGAAACTCTGAAACATGGTGATGGGTTTCCGCGTATGTCTGACCGAAAAAAAATTGACATCTTCTCATCACGTTTTGTCCAGTGTTATACCAGCTTCCCACATGACACTTGTTATAGATATTCTGCAATTCAGCTCAATTTAATTAGAACAACATTTTATAATCAAGATTGCCGTTCCGCAAGTCATCTCAACACCTGCTGACGAGCATAAGCATCCTTCACTTAATCAAAACAACATTTTATAATCAAGATCAGGTCAGCTTGAAGCTCGCTAATAAGCATTAAGCATATCTAACTTAACTAAAATTTAGTTTCTTTAATAATACACGTCTGATTTGATCAGAACAGGTGCCACATCAAATACAAGCATCATTATTATTTTACTATTATTATAGGTGTGGTGTTTGATACCATGTTCCCTGCTTTAGATTATATTCCTCATTCAAATTCACCCCGGGTGCAAATTAATTGACTCCTCGCATGATGTTTGTTTGTAGGACGCAACTGCTGTTAATTAGCTGTTGTGTTTGTCTACATAATATTCAATTAATTTCTGATTAATCTCATTTTGTAAAGAGCTTCAAGATGTATCTTTTCATGCAAAAGATACTGTATTAATACGAGTTTCACTGCTGTAGCAGCAGCGACGTTTCCATGGCATTAGATACGTTCAAACATTTTCTTTTCCTAACCCCACAATCTGTTTTCCATCTACATCAAAATCCATAACTGCCTTTTTTCAACCCATCCACAAAAATAATCCAGACCCCTCTGAGTGTTACTACTCTCAATCTTACTCGCCTCATAGTTTTTTGTCATTGATAAATGTTAACGTATTACTTCAGACGCCCACATCAATGAGATTGACGAATATTGCGTGCAGCAAGAACACTCGGTCATTAACATACTGTTAAGCACCTTGCGACACCCTCCCAACATAAAAGATGATATATCAAATGCAAGGATCATCGTCATAATTGTCCCTACATTTGATGTGACTCCCTTCACATTGGGAGGATGTCTGAAAGCGCTTCAAACGATAACTGGTGCTACAGAACTGAGATGAATGGTCAATAAGAATACAAATCCTTGCATTTGATATAGCACCTTTCACATCGGGAAGATGTTTCGAAGAGCTACATCGTGTGATATGGCATGGAAACAGGCCATTTGGGTCAACTACTCTGTGCAAACTTTATTTGGGGAAATTCATCCAAAGTGCTGCCATCTGATAATGCAGCACATCCTCAGCACTGTGTGAGCCGAGAGAATATATGAATTCAAAGGCCCAGACATAGGGCTTGAACCAACAACCTTCTGACTCAGAGGTGAGAGGGCTATCCAATAAGCTAGGCTGACACCTGTGATTCGCTTTGAGATGTTTATTTAAGAGAAAACTTGATGCATGGGGAAAGCAGTAGAGGGATATAGGTGAGGGGAATAGGAGGGGGCGAGGTTTATATGGAGTATGCACAGACTAGTTGATCCAAATGGCCTGTTTCTGTGCTATATCACTCCATGTAACTCCATGAAACATCCTACCAATTTGGAAGGCACAATATCAAATGCAAGGATTTCTATTATTATTGACCATTCATCTCAATTCTGTTTGTAGTATGAGTTATCGTGCAAATATCATAGGAACAGCATAATAATAAATAATTGTGTGAGATACTGTGAGATATTTTGACATAAGTCACGGTGTAATTACAAGTGTTATTGATCTGAGCGGGTCTATTGCTCACATCTGCAGTCATGTGCAGTGCCTCAGGACCCTCTCACTCTTTTAAATTTGTTATTTTTAATGGTGTTATTTCTGCTTGCAGACTTTTGTTATTGATAATGATAATAATAATCCTTGCATTTGGTATGAGAAACATTGTCGAGGGAACTCAGAGCACTTCACAGAACATGCTGTAAAGTGGATCGACTGTGTATTTTGTGAGTGAAACACGGCAGCCAGTTTGTGCACAGCAGTGTCCCACGAGCAGCCATGGAGTGAGTGACCGATTTTATTTGGAGAATTGTTGGCCAGGACACCAGAGAAGAGAGAAACTCCCTTCTCTTTTCAAATAGTGCCTTGGGTTCTTTAACATCCAATTGAACAGGCAGTCAGAACTCGGCTTAATGTCTCATCCGAAGCACGGCACCTTATTCCATGCCTCAAAGTGCCACAGAAGCTGCGTGGGAAGGCATTTTTTTTAATATAAAAAAAATCCATAATTCCCAATGTGCTGTGACTTCAGGTCCTGGTTTCTCCTGGTATTTGGTTTAACACTGCAATGAAAGCACAGAAAAACTTAATTTTGTTTCTTTGTGCGCACGGTGCATGAGAAGAATATTGAGCCTCTCTCCCTCGGGGAGAACAGAGGGATGGGGGAACATTTACTGCCCCAATCTCATTTGTAATAATCCGAGTGGTAATTTATGCAGGGGTGGCG